TGGTAAGAAGCCGAATCCGAGCTTGAAGCCAGGCGACCATTCACTCACACTCTTACGCAGGATCGGCCTGGATCTGGCACACCATCATCCTTTGAAATTGCGTTGAAGACATCCGTGGGCTCGTATATGGCACGCCGCTCTCGTTGGACTACAACTCGGTTCCCGATCACTCTGACCACCAGCTTGATCGTGCAAACGAATACGGCGCAGGCCGCGTCGGTCAGGTCGTTGAGCTCAGGACCCTAGGCCGTAGATGCCAAGTCACAGTCAAGTCGGACTCTGTCTCTCGGACACACATTGTAACTGGCGGCCACGCGGAAGCCGAAGCGCAGGGAACCAAGCACAGCTGGAGCTGCGAATGGAAGTGCGATCGGGAGCACGGAGAAGGACTGGGCCTTGAAGGAGGGAGCGGGATGATGCTAACAATGAAGAGCTCAACAAGGTCCGACCTTCATTTTCACGACCCGGTCTTCCTTATACATTGGCGGACTTCGCTAACTCGCTCGACCATTTAGGCTCAAAGAGACCAAAGTCCTGCCCGGATACTGATCACTCTGGCATTAAGGAGGTACTACGCTGTAAATACGGTTCGCCGATCCATCGGTCGGCTTGACATCCTTATGAGATAATTAATCTTGAAATCAAGCAGGATTCGTGTCAGCACCATCTTTGCGACGGAAGAGCCTCACTTCATGGATTCTACTATCCTCGTATAACAGTCCTACCCTTGCCAAGAAACTGACTAAGTCGTCTGAGGATATCAGGATTTGAATCAACTGTAGGCTCTTCGGGAACTCAGTGTGCTCGCTGAACGGGTTAGCTACATGACTCTTGATCGCAATTTTGACGTAGATTTTACGTATAGACGACAGAGCTGTGCTTCTGGGACTTGCTATCGCTTCTCGACAGCTCCGGGATACCAAACAACATTTCTCATAGATATAATTGAATGAGGAGGGATGCTATAGCAAGGACACGTTAAATCCTGCTCCAATCACGAATGTAGGTAATGCTGACCGAGTCCTGGGCAAACCTTTCGCGTCGCGGGGAGGCCACTACTCCGCGGCATCCTCCTCTTCGTCATCTTCATCTGATGCAGGCTTCTTTGAAAGAAACTCTTTGGCTTTCTCAGCGTCTCCGACTGCATCTCTCCATGCCGTGAGGTCTTTTCCGGTGACTTCCCTCGCTGTGTTTAGCGCGGCGAGGAAGGAGTCATAATATCTTCCGTCGGTGCCCTTCCCTGTCTGTACTTCGAACGTGTACGTGTAGACGGATGCTTGGGATGTTGCTGAGACAGGGGGAGAAATCGTAGGCGGAAGTTCCAAAGAGTAAGCGATTTCAATGCTGGATTCGGACATGGCTGAGGGTACAACGCAAGGAATGGAGTGTCTCGGAGACTGCTTCTTTAACACTGGGAATTCCCGCTATATAGTTTTATGTGAAGCCCGTAATGTGACTGGCCGTCTGGCGCAATGGCAGCGCGTCCGCCTACGATTAATGCATCTAGCCCCCTCCAGGGGTCGAACGCGTCCATGGTCCAAGCACTTGGGGGTCCTTCGCGATGCCGACAGGCCAAAGTCATCCTTGGTCCAAGCATAAACCATTCGGTCAAAAATTAGGGGCACGTGTGTGAAAAGCATAACGCGAACATTCCATAAGGTCAGGGTACATCTGGAGCTTCAATTACTTCTTCTGCCTCTACAAAGACGTTTAGCGCTTTTATTTAGGTGCAGACTGAGAGACAGGTGGCTGGAGCGAAACATGAACAAGTAAATTCGAAATGCAGTCTTTTGCCGTAGCCTCAGGATTGAAATTATCTTGAAAACAAGGTGATCAGCCTCCAGCATGGATGGCAACTAGACTGGAATACTACTTACATGCAAGGTCCTTGATGGCCTGCCATGTATCCTTGTCCACGGCATCCGACCGGAAGACTGGACGCGATTTCTTGGTGTCAACGATCTTTCGTGGAACAAACGGGCGAATGTCCAAATTTGTAAGGACACTTTGATGTGCAAAGTAGGCCATGCAGATTCGATGCCGTCCGTCAAAATCCTCGATGCCGTGTTTTAGGAGGCCACCCCTGAGCAGGAAAAGGGTGCGTGGTCCGTAGTGCGCTTTGACCCCCAGCTCTGGGAGTCGAAGCGCTCCACCTTCATACTCACCGAGGGTGGCTAGGACATCTAAAAGGAGCTGCGCGGAGTTTTGGTCACGATGGTTTTGCGTCTGTTTGTTGAGCATGAACGCGTAGCCAAAAAACATGGTGGTGATGTCGCGGAGCTGACTGGCGATGAAGTTATTGCTCGCCTTTGCCTTCTCCATCGCCGTCAGAAGGGTTGCTGCCGTCCATGGTTCAATGCACGCAACGACGTAATTGATCATTCGGTGTAAAAGAGTCGTCCGCTGATTAAAATCTAGAACAGCTTGGCCGCCTTTGATAGATGGGTTGCATGCCAAGTTTGCAGTTGGAGCAAGTGGCCGGTCCGGATTTTTCTGCACGCAAATCAGAACGTGCTTTTTATCACCGAGTCGGCACTTACCGGATGGCCCTGCTGGCACCAGATACCACAGTGGAACGATCCACACTTATTGTTTTGACAATAACAGCTGGTGTCCTCACAAAGGTGACGGTAGACGGAATCGACGTTGTCGTCCCCCAGTTCTGGCAAGTTCGGATTTGATGGTACCGCATTGCGTGGAGTTTGAACAGCAACCCCCGCAGTCTTCCGCCGTTTCCGTGATGACTGTCGAGCTTGGCGCTTCTTCCGTTCGCAATCACCCAGGTCACGACCCAGGATGAAATGGGCCGCAACGGCGTAATAGTGTTCCTATGTAGCCCATCAGTTAAGGCTAAAAACACATTCTACAGAGTGCTCACGTGAATGTCCGCCGGCATCCACTCGGGGAGATACAGATACAAGAAGCGACCTTGGCGATCAACTCCTAAGACCGGGTGTGAGCCGTCAAACTCAACAAGAGTCGTGCATGGATCGATCTTTTGCCGTGTTTTACAATTCCGGGAGAGGCCTAAGCGCCGCCGAAGATCTACATCCTCGTGGATATCTGTTGAATAAACCAATCAGGACCAGAAACCAGATTCGCGTAGAACGACGTACGGATGTGAGCCTTCGCCCCCCCGATCATTTTACGTATTTCTCCCTTCCAACGCGTGGCAACCGAACTCGCCTTCGCTTTTGCATCGCCGCCCGCTTTGGTGTCGGCAGGGTCGTTAATGTGCCGAGGAATCGACTCTGCCTCCTGAGTAGCGGCATCTCCCTCAGCTTGGCCCTCATTGTCGGCTCGCTCTCCACCATCCGTGCTCCGAGTGTCTTTGACCCCCTCAATCACCTGTCGCAGTGTTCTCCCCCGGGTTAGTCGGCTTGCCGCAGCATTGGCCGCTCGTGGGACGGATCGAGTCGAGCAATCCGACGCGTACGAGAATTCGGAGTCGTAAACGGTCTCTTGGGTCTCTTCTCCCGGGTCGGAATTTGTGTGGTCGGAGTCCGAACCATCGAAGTCAGAGCCCGAGTCAGTGTCGACCGCGTGGACACAATCTCCATGGATGCAGCTGTAACATTCGCAAGGTGCTTTTGGTGGTTGTGCTAACCTTCGTGATGCTGCCGACCCCCTTCGAAGAGAACTCGCCCGCGACGCTGGGTGTGAAGGGAGGTTGAGGTGCTATCAAGGGTAAGACGGAACGATCAGCCCGTGAAATGATCGGAAAGGAGCAACTACACACACCTCGGGCTTTGGGGAGTTGGCTGCCGATACTAAGGGCGAGTTTCGCCTTGAAGTACGAACACTGGAGCCCACGGAAGATGACCAACGACTCGCAGAGGACTGGACACACACAATCCAGTTAGTCTAAGTCCATCACAGTAGGAATCGATAAATCTCACCGGGTTCAATCGCGAAGCCTTCAGAAGTTCCATGGAGCGAGCGAGTTCCTGCATGTTCTGCTCCTCCCGTTTGTGACCCGCAGTAGGCCGTCCTGCCCCGTCTGGTTCTCCCTGTGCCTTTTGAGCCGACGTAAGCTACACCGGCCTTGTACGAAGAGCCCGCGGAATCGTCCACACCAACCTTCCGTTTCCTTCCCATGGTAGTTGAGGGACAAAAAACGGGGTGCGTGTCAGCCTTGAGGCCACCGACGATTACATCACGTGACCGAACCGTGGGTTTATTTCGCTCCGGCGAACAAATGCACCAACCCCAACTTCATCCCCAACCGACATCCTCGGACCCCAGAGCGACGGCTCGGCGTAACGCTTCCCGTCAGTGGGTTGGCTCTGCTGGGTGTAACACCCTAATGACCCGCAGAGTACCCTCTGTGGGTCGGGCCAACCCCCTCTGGTGGTACTTGCGAATTCGGATCTAGACCAAAGCCTCCACAAACTCAACCCACCTCCTCACTCACTCTGAGCCGCAAATCACACGCCCGTCAACTGACCAGGCTCTTCATCCATCTACGGTTCGCCATATTCCGGTCTCCGAGGCGAACCAAAAACCACCGTCGACGCCCGATCCCCAGAAGATCACATGGGTCCGGGTCGCCCGAACATTTCCAACAGCAAGGTCGCCGGCTGAGCTCCCACCACTTCCCAAGACAAACCCATCGCAGCTGCTCCTACGGCGGCATCGGCTCCCAAGTACTTGGCTCTTCCGGTCCCGCAGGACTCGGTCACGCCCACCGTCTCGCCCAACGCTTCGCTAGCCGCAGCTGCAGCAGCTCGATTCGCCGCGGCGACCAACGCGACATACGCCTACTCCAAGCCCAACTTGCCGTATACGTTTACACTCCTCCGTCTTCCATCGGTTGTAAAGACCGCCAGAACAATCCGTTGACGTCTGGGAGCTTGAGGTTGGTCGGCGGGATGGCCCCGACGATCATCAACAAGGACGGGTCAGCTCCGGTCGAACGTGTTCCCTCGTGGGCTTCTACCGATCATGTTTTAGAACGAAAGTCCGGGTCAGACTGTGCAAATGCTATGACCATTATCAACGGCCGCCTGGCGCAATGGTAGCGCGTCCGCCTACGATCACCTGATGGGTAGCGGGAGGTTGCAAGTTCGATCCTTGCGGCGGTCATTTTTTTTGCCTTCCAGTCATACCGCCGACCGTTGAAACCATCTTGCCTGCTGCCGACTTCAACACGCTAGCGCAGTAATTCGAAGGACTTATATTCAATACTTATATTATACTGCACCGATACGTTCTATAGATCATGAAAGGCCCGATCATTCTGAGTCTTCAACTGAGTAGTCCATCGGGTCGTCGAGAGAGAACCCCAGATTTTTGAGATCGTCCTTGATGTCACTTCCAGCTCATACGGCCTGGTGTCGAACCTAGTCTTGAGAATCCGGTTGGGGCCTTCACGCTTCGAAATAGAGGCATTGGCGCATAAGAGAGAACTCGACGGCTAGGCAGCCATTCAGTTCACGAGCAGCAGGCACAGTGAGTTCGACAGCTAGGCAGCCATTCACTTCACATCAGGAATAGTGAGTTCGACGGCTAGGCAGCCGCTCAGTTCACATCCTTGGGACAGTAATAGCGAAAGTGAACAGCCAGGTAGCCGCGTGTTCGCGTTCCTGCACAAGGCATTGTTGCCGTGAAGCACGTCGGGAAGTCGGTGGGAGGCAGTAAACAAAGGCGCGGTCGAAAATCCAACGTCGTCACGTGATATTTCGTCCACCCTTGATCCAAAACCTTGAACGATCGCTTGGCGCAATGGTATCGCGTCCGCCTACGATCAGTCTTTGGCACGACGAGGGGAAGGCTTTGGTAAGAGGAGGGAGTGCGTTGGCACGGCGAGGGGAGGTCTTCGGTACGACGAGGGGAAGGCTTCGGTATGACGGAGATAGGCTTCGGTACGACTGGCATCTTCGGTACGGCGATGGGAGGTCTTCCTAGGGGGAGTTGGTGGCGCGACAAGGGAGCACGTCGGTACGACAGAGATTAGCTTTGGTACAACGGAGATAAGCTTCACGTGTCTTTTTTTCTTTTCCTTTTATGATTGTTAAATTCATCTCTTGCTCTCACTATCAACACACGCAGCGCATTACTGTATCCAAAGTCTATGGTTTTTATTGCAGCAGTGAAACAATAAGAAGAACAGTTGTGTTTCAAGAATTCGATTAGGCTACGCGGGCGATAAACCGGAAGTTTCCATACCCCCTAAAGGGAGCGATCATTGGGGGTTGTCAAGAGAGAACCCCAACTTTTCCAGGTCTTCCTTGATGTCGCTTTGATTGAGGACAGCCTTCACTGCTTCAGATGTTGATAACTGTCCCTCCAAACTGAAATCGAAGCGGGAAGCAGGGCTCAGCTGGTCTGGCAGAGGAGCCGGGTCAAACGTGAGGCCGTCCTGGAGAGCTTTGTGGACTTCAGATGTCCACTGCTCCTGCTGCTCCTCATCGAGCTGCATAAGAGGTAGATATGTCAGTCTCTATGCCTCCCTAGTAGTCTCTCCACTTACACGAGTCCAAACCTTAGCCCGACCATCCTTATGCTGCTTGAAGAGGTCTGTCGCCAAAGCATCTGCGTCGTCGGAGGTGGCAGCAGCAGTGGTGACTGCGTAAGATGATCTCATTTGGAGGTACCATGCCTTTTCGGGGCAGTGGCGAAGACCGTGAGCGATGACATGGGTCAACGAGGGATACCTGACATATGTAGATTGTCGTTAGGGAGGAGCATGTGCCGGTGAATACGGATTGGAACCTACGTCTGACCGCACTTGGGACATGAAAAGACACCTTCTTGGTCGGTACGACTGTCCTGCTCAAGGTTGGTCCAAGGATCGTGCATTTGTATGCTGTTGGGCGGAGTGATCAGAAGGGGTGAAAAGGCTCTTTTGGCGGACGTCTTCACTGCACGCACGTATGACGTTTGAGATCGTAAACATTCTCTGCGAGAAATTCACACCGTTCGCACTCCATCCCGGTTATCAGCGCAGCCTTGAGAAAGGAACTGGGAATGAGTCACAGCGTTAAGGGCTGAGGAGGACGGCGGACCTTGGCTTTCTCTTGCACTTTGAGTTGCTCTGCAATAACGGAGTCCACGCTCCTCATGAGAGCTTCGGTTACCGTGGCTGCTGAAACGGTCTTGAAGACGCTCGGTGCAGCTCCCTGGTCCACGTGGCACCACCCTTTGTCCCAGCCTTTCTTTGTATGACCGTTCTCCTTACGGAAAAAGGCCAGATCATCTCCGTTGTCGTCGTCTTGGCACTCTGAGTGCACTGGTATGGATGGAAGACTGGTCGTTTGTTCCGCTTCACTGGAGCCAGCTGCCTTCTTTTTCCCTTTCCTACGCGCAGGGCCGCTGTCGAGATCTTCTTGAGTTTTCCGCATCTCTTGGTGAAGTTGACTTCGTGTGTGATTGATCAGGGAAATCAGCTTCTGGCCGGCAGGTCCTGGGAAACATTGCGGTGTCAAGCCAAGATTTTCCTCTGTAAGGTTCTCGAAATCAGCCATCAGTCCGACAGCTTGGTTATACTCTTCCTCTTCGATGTCCAAGAGGTTGATGTGCTCCTGTATGGTGGATTCGGCCTGTGGGTGGATATTGGCAGTCAGGTGCGAATGGAAGTCGCGAGCACTTTGATCAGGAGTTTTCTGGTTGAAAGCCTGTCAGGAAAGGATGAGCCTTGCTTGTGAGCGCAAAAGTGACATGTAAAGGGAGCTCACCAATGCGTCTATCAAAGGCTTTTGGCCGGCCTGTCTTACTAAACCTTGGGCGTGACGACGTGCAGCAGTCGTGTCCTTCTCCGGTTCCGCGTTGCTCAGCCGGGCGAAGATCCGATCATCGCACCTTCGTCGAATGAGTTTGTGGATGTATCGGTGGTGACGGAAGGCTTTATACAGGTTGAGAGAAGTCTGAAAGCATGCAGTTCAACGAGACGGTCACTTGTCAAGCACGCATGATGGCAACCCCCAAGACAAATCCGTACCTCAGAAAGGTCATCAATTGTCGCGATCTCATCTGGGTCACGATAAGGAAGACTAAGAATGGCAGCACGCTTTGCAATCTGCACCAAGGCTGTAGAGATCAGGCCACCTTGGCGGCGGACTGCGACCGATGTTTGGACGATTTCTTCAACACGTTTGCGAAGAGTGGTCCACCTCCGGTCCCTGATAATGGGGTCTTGGGCTGCTGGATCCTCAATAACCCACGATTGGTAGGTCACAGTCAAGTCTTGGCGAGATTTCACAGCTTCGTCCCATTGGTTCTCCTACGGGAGAAATTGGAGTGTGAATGGCATAGAGATGTCTCCCAAGGGGCTCACCTGCTCTTCACACCAGGCAATATCTTCCGCAGTGTACTCGGGGACACGGATTGGTTCCAGATCGTCATAGCTAGAGAGGCCATTTTCCAGGGCGCCTCGTTTTACAATGGAGAGGACTGCAAGGCTTGAGAAAAATTGAGTGGCACGTGCTTTCTACAGCGGCAAGGTAAATTGTTAGATAGCAGTCGGTTATTTACATGAGTGATCGTTTACTTGATACACCCCATCCTTATCTGGGGCTGCGGGCATCTCGTCAAGGAGAATGGGAAGGACCGGCAAGTTTTCAGTGTTGAGTGAATAAAAGTTGTCGAACGTTCGAGAGGTTCGCTGGCCGTGAGCGAGAATATTTGAAGCTATTCTAGCACCAAGTTTGAGACCAAGCTTTGGTAATAATAATCAAGAAACATGTCAGAATATGGGCGAATTTGCACTGGCCCATGTGAGAACCTACCCTATTTGAAGAGCCTCGACGAATGCCTCTGAGTGTTGTACCAACGCCCAATCCAAGCTTGTTGCCTAGCAGGCTGATGGACTGGCTGAGGGCGCCTGCTGAAGTCACTTGCATCTTGTCGAGTTTCAGGCCCCTTCCACCTTCCAATCCTGTGACAAAGCTAGCCAAGAAGGTGAGATGTGATTAAAGGAGACAGTAGCGTTACATACAACGGTTCTTTGCTTTTCGATTCGAGAACTCGTAATTGAGCTCCTTCGTAGTTGATCAACTCTTCCAACGACTGTTAATCAGAAAAAAAAGAGGAATTTCCTTTTTAGACTGCGGCCATCTACCTGCTTTGCACAAACACCTACCGAGAAACCAAAAGCTCCACGCCAGTGCTGGTAAAGAATTAGACACCAGTTGCTTAGAAGTACAAACTCGGGCTTCTCTGTCGCATGCAGGGTGAAGATGAGGCGCTTGCCGACGATTGTAGAATTATGGCCCTATGCCCAGTGGAATCTGGGGGTTAGTGGCTTGAGGTCCACGAAGTTGGGAGGAATAGAGTCTTACTTTGAAGTTGGTGAAAGTGACTGTAGAAGTAAATTTCATCCAGTCTTCGCGAACGTGTTCAATGTCACCAAGCTTGAGGTACTAGGAGGGTGACACATATTAGGGTCGCTGATAGAGCCCAAGGGATAATCCTATGTTTGCTTACAAGGCCTTGTTGAGCATACGAAGAGTCTGAAGGTGCAAGTGTGCTAGGTCTGGCAGTGGTGGCGAAAGTAAGCAGCATGGCGCAAATGACTTGTAATTTGTGAAGGCGTCCTTGCTCCTCGGATTCTTCCAGGGCGAGTTGAACCAGCATGAAAACCTCTTCAGAATTAATCCACTTTTGCTTGGGAGGCACACGAGCGAGTTGCAGCTGTCGGGATACTATGCATCAAAAGGGAAAGTTGTCAGCAGCAGATCCCAACAAAATAGCGTGAAGAAAGGGGACGCACAGGTAATAGCAATGGATTCAAGCTTGGCGTAGAGCCCATTAACCAAAAGGTTCAGACCGCACCGGAAGTTGTTTTCGTCCCTGGTGAAACGCGTAATGCACCAGCATAGGTCCGTCAACCATTCGACCAGAGTGCGTGCAAGGATGTATTTGCCCTTTCTTCCCGGTGTGGCATGAGTCTAGGATGGTGAAGAGTTCAGCGACAACAGTCTTGAGCGGCATAAACCATCTTACCCGAAACGTAAGGTAATAGCCAGCATACTGTTCGACAGTCTTTTTGGTCCAGAGAATTTCTTCGGCCACCAGGTAGGGATTGGCCCCCAAGATATATTTCCACATATATAAAGTGACCTCCCTCCGCCTTTTCGAATGTGCAT